CGAGTATGTATATGTAAATGGACATGTACAAATTCGTATGCACTGAACATGCACACCTCTTCTTACGGTTTGACAGGATCTCTTAACATTAAAACAAAAGATTGGAAGAGAGGGTTATGAGCATGGTTGTATATCTCATTTTCCAAAAGTACATAGAAGTAGCATCGTGCAAGAAAAAGCTCAAATATTTGCCAATTATAAAAAAGCGCCCGGCGGACGTTTCCCCCTGATCATTACCTCGCTCGCCGATGTGCGGCCGTTAAAATAATCGTCCGTCAGTCTTCTTCTCCTGTTAGTGTAACCGCTCAAACTCGTTCTCTATTACATAACCCCGAAATAACCAACCAACGCCAGGCCCCTTGAAATCGCAGTGTTGAAAAGCTGTTGTGGTATGATGGAAATCGTGATTTACAACCTCGCTATAACACTGATTGTGGAGGCACCAGTGTGTAAAACTTCTGGCCACACTTTCGTACTAATTGTCTAGTTTTAGGCCGGCAAAAACTTGGCGGGTGAGGGCGCGTGGGCATCTAACTCCGGGTTGTAAAAAGGTGGAGGTTTGTGTTGGGGGTTCGGGTGTGCTGACGGGGGCAGCGGAGGTGGGGGGTGTTGGGGGGGGGGGAGGTGAGGAGGTTGAAGAAGCCCCGTCGAAAGATTTTCAGCTGGGTTGAGTATGTTTTAATAATGGTGGGGGGAATGTTGAGGGAAAAAAGACCCGTGCGGAGAGATGAGGATGGAATGACAGTGCAACAGCGTACGTGGGGAAGCGGGGAAGGAGAAGGAGAAGCGGACAAAGAGGGGAATGAAATGCTTCGACTAAAGAAACAGAATCAAGAGAAAGACAAAATGATACACAGAAAAGAGAGGAAACGGGAAAATTAAAACGTAATAATGAACGAATGGATAGAAAGCAGAGGAAAATAGGGAAAGACAAAAATAGATATAAAGAAGAAAATGAAGACACTGAGGTCATTCACGGGTCTCCGGCCGCCGAACCTCGAGGCTGATGAAAATGAAGGCGGAGAGGAAGAGGTGATGAAATCGTGTTTATCTCCGTATCAGAAGATCGCCAATCCTTCTCGTCGTCTTTCTTGCCTTCTTGTTCTCCCGTGTTTACCTCTGGGGAGTATTTTGTTACCTCTTATCTTGCTTTTGTTTCTCTGTTTATTCCCCCTCTTGCCTTCACGTTTCTTTCTGTCCTTTCCCTAGTCGTCCCCTCCCTTGTGTGTGTGTGTGTGTGTGTGTGTGTGTGTGTGTGTGTGTGTGTGTGTGTGTGTGTGGTGTGTGTGTGTGTGTGTGTGTGTGTGTGTGTGTGCGTGCGTGCGTTCGTGCGTTCGTGCGTGCGTGCTTGCGTGTGTTTGTGTGTGTATGTGTGTGTGTTGTGTGTGTGTGTGTGTGTGTGTGTGTGTGTGTGTGTGTGTGTGTGTGTGTGTGTGTGTGTGTGTATCTGTGTGTGTGTGTGTGTGTATGTTTGTGTGTGTGCGTGTGCGTGCGTGCGTGCGTGCCTGCGTGTGTGTGTGTGTGTGTGTGTGTGTGTGTGTGTGCGTTGTGTGTGTGTGTGTGTGTGTGTGTGTGTGTGTGTGTGTTGTGTGTGTGTGTGTTGTGCGCGTGCGTGCGTGCGTGCGTGTGTGTGTGTGTGCGTGCGTTGCGTGCGTGCGTGTGCGTGCGCTTCTCTCCCAACAAGCGCAACTACCACCGCCACTCAGTGATTGTTACCTTTGGCATGATAGCTGCTCCCGGCGCCCCCGGACTCACCTGCTCGGCGCCGGGATGTTGGAGCAGGAATTCAAGGAGACGGTGAAGGAGTAGAACGGGATGAGGAGGGAGGAGAGGGAGGGAGGGA